CTTGGGCTCCCTCCCCCTCTCCCTCCACTTTGGGCCCAAGCGAGGTGCTGGCCTGGTGACCTGAGAGGCCAGCCTGGGATCATGGGCAGCAGCTGAGGGTAGCAATGCCCCTGCCCTGTGTGGCAGGTGGTCTCCAGCTGAGCAATGAACCTTAAGGCCACACTCACATGGCAGGGGACACACAATGCTCCAAGCATGCTCCTGCGTTCTTGGCGAATGAGGAGGCTGCCAGGGAAGGAAGGAAAATCCTAACATTCTGGAAGCACTCAGGGGCATGAGAAGCTGGAGCAGAGAAGCCCAGTATCCTGTTTCTCTTTTCTTCTTGGTAATAAAATCCTGAGTTTTACACAGCACTTGGGTCTTGTAGAGTGAAGACCATTTCCCAGCCTCCCATGCAGTTTAGAGTGACCATGTGACTGGAGTAACCAATGGAAAGAAAGTGGTGATAGATGGAATGTGGGTGAGCTGGCTGGGGCCTAGGCAACCATTTTATACCACAAGGTCAAAGTTACATGACAAAGAGGGAGGAAAAAGTTGGGAGGAACCCCAGTCCCTAAAGAATGTAGAGTATCCTTATTTCTGTGGACCTCTTAGATCCAACTTCCTCAAATCATCCATTACAGCTAAGGGCTTGAGGGTTTTGTTTGAGATGTTGCTCAGGCTAACCTCAAACTCATAATCCTCCTGCCTCAGCCTCTCAAGTGCTGGGGATATAGGTGTACATCATCACACCTGGCTGGGACTTGACACTTTACCCCTGAGCCTTGGGCTTCCCACCGGGAAGTGGGGATCATAATGGCTGACTCTGCAGGGTCACCGGGAGAGTTCAGCAGATGATGAAAGAGAGCCCCCCACCCTTAGCAAAGCGCTTTAAAGCTAAGGCGGCCAGCACAAGCTATCCCTGGGGATAACCCGTTAGATCAGGGGTTCCTGACCCCAAAGCCCGCGGCCTGCCCAATGGGCTTGCACTGGCTCCAGAGTCCTCACCTAGCAGATCCAGGGTCACCTGGGTCAAGCAGCGACACTTAAATCAAGGATCCTGAACAGGAAGTAGAGGAGCCCCTGCAGCCACCAGGCCCACACCCAGCAGGGCTGAGAGCTGGCGGTGGTTCTGGGAAGCTGTGTCACCTTGGGGCTGCAGCTGAGGTGGAGATCAAAAGTGCCACAGTGCCCACCGGAGGCGTGGGTGGGCCCGCCTCTTCCCCTCTCCCCTCCACTCCTCAGTGGGCACAGATAACTCCGTGGCAAGAGTGGGTGCCTAGGGTCTGGGGATATAGCTCAGGGGCATAAGTACTTACAAGCGTAAGGTCCTGAGTTCGATTTCCAGTACAAAAAACAAAAAACAATGACTACTATAGACCCCACCCCCCTCCTTCCTCTTCACCAACCCCACTGGTGTGGGGGGCCGCCCCCTTCCCCGTGTCATCCTGGCCCTGCTGGGTGCCAGGCATAGTCCCCTCCTGACTCCTGCTGCCTGACCCAGGGTGCTGCAGCAGTCCCTACAAGCTGTCATCAGCTGAGAGTTCCCACTACTCCCCAGGCAGGGACAGACCAGCCTTGGTTGGGTCTCCGGCACCGGCTCATACCTGGAGTTCGTCCCCTAGCCTTCTGCCACCTGCTGGTAGACCGCAGTACTGCAGGCAGCAACCCATCCAGACTTCCCTGGCCAAAGGACATCCGGTTCCTTCCCCTCGGTTATTCCCTAAGGGTGAGAGGGTCTGGCCGCGGCTGTGCCATCAAGTTCGTTGGAAGACAATTCACAAACAGCGCAGTCACCCATCCAGGACCAACAAATTTGTACCAGCACCACTCGGCCATCACCAATCTATTCCAGAGCTGGGTGACCACCCCAAAGGCGCACCGTCCTCAGCTGCTGCCTGATCCCTTTCTCCTGCCCCTCAGCCCTGCCAACCGCAGACCTACTGTGTTTTCTTTATTCCTTTGACTCAGGGTCTGTAATGGTTGATATGCTGTGTCTTTTTGAGACATCTAGCAGCTAGCTAAGTAACTCTGGGCTCTACATCCTGGGATGTAGAGGACACGCCCTTAGGGCCTCCAGGGTATTGCTCTTGTGCAACTTGAGAAGTTTAGTTTAACTAAGTGATTCCGTAGGGCTCACTTTGTAAACCTCTTCAGTCTGTGCAAGTGGAGAGCCTGACACGGTGTAGGTGTAAAGACCCCCCTTTATTGAAGGTAGCCTGCAGCAATAAGAGGAGAATGACAGACTGATCTCTGGATCTTTCGAGGAGCCTTAGTGTTCGTCTTCCCCTAGGACGGTGTCTCCCGGCTTCTGGTGCAGACGGTTCAGCTTCCGGTGTGGAGTCTTCAGCCTTCTGGTGTGGATTCTTCAGCTTTCTGCTGCAGATCAACAGGCCTCATGATAACGGACTTGCACAGACCCTGCAGTGAGCTCCGGATTTTGGGCTGGATCCTTCCAGTGTGCAGACAGCTTCTGTACACCTCCTCATGCAACTCTGGCCGACCACCCATCATAAGCCAATCTTTGTGTATCTTGTGTTATATCTGTTTCTCTAGTAAACCCTGACTGATACAATGTCTTACTATGTAGTTCAGGCTAGACTTGAATTCACTATGTAGCCCAGGCTGGCCTCAAGATCCTCCTGTGTGCAGAGATCCTCCTGTCTCAGCCTTCCAAGTGCGAGCATTGCAGGCATGCACCACCATGCCCAGCTAGCACGTCTAAGCTTTATAGGAGCTGTGGGAAGCAGGGGTCATATTTTACAGAAGAGAAACTGAGATTCAGAGAGGGGGAAGCCGTACCCACCTCACAGCCTGTGACTGAAGCAGGGAGGCTGAGTCCTGCCCTCCTCCCCTGCCCCTTCCCTGCCCTCCACCCTTGGTGCCTGCCCTGCCCTTCTGGCATCCCAGGGCAGCTCAGAGGGCACAGCAGCCAGGACAGAAAGATGCTCCCAAGGTGCCATCCAGAGAACAGGTGGGAGTGCAGGTATTGGCACCAGCATGCATGGTCCTGACTAACCAAACAGGGACCCCCCCCCCCAGCTTTTCTCAAGTGTCTGGGTGCTGAGTGTCCAGTAAGGCTGCAGGCTCCAGACAGATGAGGACACGGGTCACCTCGCACCTGCGTGTGCTAACGTGCCAGATGAGAGGGTGGGATGGATGAATGGGTGGATGGGTGGATGGATAGAAGGAAAAAACATAAGAAGGGAGACAGAAAGAAGAAAAAAGGCGGAGGAATGGATGGGGAATCACAGTGCCACTTTCCTGAGCGGCTAGAAAGATGAACATGAGTTACCTCACCAGCGCTAATAAACAGTTCTACACATTTCTGTCTTGAACGCAGCCCACCCAGGGCACGTTCATGACTTCCCCAGTCCCTCAGCACTCTCTGTGCCCCCACAGGACTTCCCATCTTCTCCCCCGGGGCTGGGCCCCCAGGCTCCCAGCACAGCCCTGCGGAAAGGACCCTAGGCCGCCAGCTGCCCTCAGATGTCCACCGCTGGCTGCGAGCAGCACCTGCCTTCCTCTGCCCCTGGCTGTTGCCCTGGTGACTGACTCTGTTCTTTCTGCTGCGGGGGCCACAGGACCCTCGAGGTCAAGGCATTGGCTGGGGTGCTTATTCCATCCCTATACAGCTCTGCTGCTATCTCCAATGTTCCTTCTTTGTGGGAGCCTCACCCTGACTCAGCCTCCCGCCATGTGGCGTCTCCCTGTCTGCAAGCCTGTGTGATGCATGCACGAGTGTGCCTGTGCCTGTGTGTGTGCACCTGCGTTTTTTCCATAGGACACCAGTCATATGGGTGTGTGACTGTCCCTACGTCTGTGTGACCTCCTGGCCAATCACATCTGCAATGGCCCAGCTTCCAATAAGGCTGTACCCTGTGAATTGGAGGGAGGGGGACGGCCAGTGTATGAATTGCAACCCTCACTTGCTCCTAATCCACCCCTGAAAGGAAGCCACTCAGCTCCTTCAGAGGGTCGCAGACTCCCCAAGGCAGGAAATGTATTTTTTGTTTTTAAACCATTGAATCTGCTTTCCGCATCAGCCTGAAGCCTGTAGTGCCTTCCTTCCTGGAAGCCAGCTATCTCTGGTTGCTGAGCACTGACACTGCTGCACCCCATCTGTGACCAGAAGCCTCAGGCAGGGTCACCCACCAGCCCCAGCTTCCCGCCGAGAAGCCCCTGCAATCCCTGTGCCACCCACTCCTCCTGGGTGAATTTGGTCTGCAGTGAAAGCACCTCGCATCTGTTCCTGCAGATGCTGGGAGCGCTGCCCCTCGGGGCCCAAAGCTGGAGACCTGGCTGCCCAGGGCCTGGGTGCTGCCATCCTCCTGATGCTTGCTCATGCTCCCTTGCCAAGTTCTTCACTCCCGCTGCATTCTGGGCTGGCACTGGGATCTCAGAGCCCAGCCAGGCTCGAGGAGCAAAGTGCCCTGTCCCCTGCTTGCCCAGGCCATAGCCAGTGGTGCTGGGACAGCAGGTGCCACACCACGGGGAGAGATGTGGGAGGCTCCAGATCCAAGACAGAGCCCGGCTGCCGCTCCCCTTGCTGGGCAGGTGCCTCTCAGAAGCTCGATCCTGCAAGGACAGGAGGTGCTGGTGGCAGCTTGCAATGGTGAGGGAAGGAAGGGATGGTGGGCCCGATGTGGCAGTCCTCAAAACTGTCCCGAGAGGCCTGTGGCTTCCAGAGGGGAAGGTTTGTTGAAATTCCAGTGTTAGTGAACTGCTTTTCCTCACTGTCTCTGTCCATATGTGTACATGAGACACACACACACACACACACACACGTATGTATGCACACAGTGCATGCGGGCACAAGGACACTTGTGGAAACACTTGCACACACACATGTGCATCAGCCTCTTCATTCCACTCACCTAAACCACCTACTGGTTTCAACCCCGGGGGCCTCTGCCGCCCAGCTCCCCGGAGCTCAGCCTGAACCCCATCATCAGAGTTGCCACCCCAGCAAATGACCCTGAAGCTCCACATTGCTTTCAGTCTGTGTCAAGTCCAGCAAATAAAAGTAGAATAAAATACTTTAATGTTCCCATTACACAGCCCCCCACTGTCACTGTCCACCCCTGAGGGCTGCTGGGACATCTTGGGGGGGGCACCTCAGTGCGTGTTGTCTGCCAGCCTGAGGCCCTTGTCCATGTGACCCCCAGCATCTTGCAGGACTCCCCAGGGCTCGACTCCTAGGTGCCCCTCGGTCGGAATCCCAGGATCCCAGGGTCAGAGCAGCCGTGACACCGTGGGGCTCAGGCCTGGCGAGTCCCCGCTGTTGCCCCCTCAGAGCCCCATGGTGGCCTGAACATGCAAGGGCTCCTGGCCACGGCGGGCCCCCGGGTTCTGCTTCTTCCGGTGCCGCCGCCGGGGCTGAACACCTTTGCCCGGGGCCTGCACCGGGCTGCTCTGGAGCAGCCGCACCAGCTCGTGGTCCTTGTGGTCCAGCACTCGGGGCAGGAACAGGGAGGACTTCTGCGTGCGGCGGGTCTTGAAGCCCCTGCGAGGCCGGCCCTTGCCGTTTACAGACACGTACCAGAGTCTCTCGGTGCCTGGCTGCCGCCGCGCCCCCGGCCCACTGGGCGCCGTGCGGTACAGACGGGATGCATATGTATTGTAGCCCAGCTCGTGGATCCGCTCCACGAACTCGCACTCGGCGCTGTAGTGCTCCTGCGGGAAAAGACCATGGTCAGTGGCCACGGGAGGCCACGCTGACACCGGGGAGGCAGAGGCACGTCCTTCCCCTTCCCATGGCCGCCCATACCTGCCCCTGCTCCTACGCCCTGCGCCCCCCTTGCCTGTGAACCGGGCCCCCAGGACCTAGCTCAGTGTGGACTGCTCTGCAAAGGTTTCCTCCACCAGTCTCAGCTCCCCTGCCTCTCCTCTCTGGGACCCCAGCTCTGGGTCGGGGAGGTCCCAGCAGGGGGACCAGTGGGATTGTCTGGAGCAGACATTGGGTCTCCCTACTCTGGGGACCTTGATGGCTACCAGCTTCGGGGGTCAGACATGCACAGAAGAGGGTGCAACCCCAGAGCTCTGCCGAAGAAATTGCAAAAAAGGAAAAGAGCCTGGAAATGCGTCTCACACCTGTAGTCCCAGGTACCTGGGGGACTGAGGCAGGAGGATGGCTTATACCCAGGAGTCCAAAGACAACCTGGGCGATACAGTGAGCGCCTGTACCAAAAAGAGGGGGAGGGGGAGGGGAAGGGGGGAGGAGAAACAGCCAAGAGAGGGAAGGAAGGGACATAGCCAGGTTTTCTGAGCCTGGTTCTCCATTAAACGCTGACTTCAGGTCCAGCCCTGACCACTGCCCTTCCAAAATCACCATCTTGCTCTCAAGGTCCCTGTTCCCCAGGCTGAAGGAGGTTGAGACACCAGGAGCCTGGCGGGAGGGACGAGCTCAGTAATTGTCACAGCGTTGCTGCTGTTAGGATGAGAGCAGAGGCGGGGCTCCAGCACACACAGGGACACGGAAGCCACTCCCGGTCATTGGATTTACAGAGTTGTGCCCAGCCTTGGGTAGGACAGGGGGTGGCAAGGGGGTGTCCCCGCCCTCTCAAAGGCACAAGTTCTAAACTGAATGAGTTTTCCCCAGAGCCCCCAAGCCCAGCCATGGGGCTCTCTCCAGGTCCTGGTGTGGCCATCACTATTGAGGTCAATATCCATAGTACACAGATGGTGAAACTGAGGCAGGTTAGGGCCAAGGCCACGTCCCAGAGGCTGCGACACCACTTCAGCCTGGCCTGACTGCACGGGAGGGTCCAGGGCAGTCTGGGAGTGAGGGTGGGAGTGGGCACACTGCTGGGTGGGCACCTGCCTCCCAGGTGGGACCGTGCCAAACCCAGGGCCTGTCCTAGCACTTCTCCCTGGTCCCCTAGCCCTGGGGCAGGTTTGTCTGTGGGGCCAGAGAAGTCTTATTTTGCAGGGACACTTTGGGAGGGGGGTGACTGAGGGACACAGAGTCATCATCTCAACGATTAAGGAGCTTAGGCCCCCTGAGGAGCAATCAGGGAGTGCAAGACTCGGGCACTTGTTTATACTTCCCCAGGGAGGCACATGTGACTCAGATGACCAGGACAGTGCTGGCTCAGGGGCCAGAGGTCAGCCTCCAGGCCAGCTGGGTTGGGACTCACCAAGAGCACAGTTCCCCATGCCCATCCTGACACTGTCCCACCATACCCTTTGCTCCAAAAGCCCCTCCACAGAGACACTTCCACTCCATGAAGCAAACTTGGGGACATCTTGCAGATGAGGTGACATTTAGAGAGAGAGAGAGAGAGTCACAGTGGGGTGGTGCATCCACAGTAAGAGCAGATGGGACATGACCTGTCTGGAGAATCAAGAGATGCACCAGAACTAGAAAGGGGCACACGTACCAGAGCAACAGGAGAGGGACACAAGCACCCGGGCTGCTTTTCTGTGGGTGGGGCTGGGCACCGGGGTCATCGGAGGACACGAGCGGATTTGCCTTTTTGGGAAAAGCACCTCAGTACATGCCTGGTGGATCGGGTCACAGTGTAAGGGCCAGAGCGCTGCCTGAGGAACGAAGGGATCGATGCTAGGTGAATGGATGGATGAGTGGATAGATAGGTGGATGGATGAGTAGATAGATGGGGCGAAAGAAATGTGAGAAGAAAGGAAGGAAACTAGGAAGGAAGGGAAGGAGGCAGAGAGAAAGGGAAGAAAAGGAAAATGGAAAGGAAGAAAAGAAGAAAAACTATCTGGCAGGATGGGTACATGAGTGGATTCATGGATGGATGCGCAGATGGACTGGTGGATGGATACATGAATGGACGGATGCATGCATAGATGCATGGATGGGCTGGAGGACAGAGAAGTGGCAGGCCAGCTACTGGATCCCCAGACTATTACAATAGTCTGGGAAGGAAGGGACAAGGGCCTGTGTTATAAGGATACTGGCCTCTGGGATAAGGCAGAGGGAGGATTTGGAGATGCCTGGATGTGGGCCTGAGTGGGGGGGGGCTCCTCCATGGCTCCCAGCTGCCTCGGGGCTGGAATGAGTGGCTGCTGGGCCACAGTTGAGGGAGGGGAGTCAGTCTGAGCTCCTGTGGTGTACTGGCTGCCTCTGCACCATCAGGACCTCCGGGAGAGTTGCCATGTCACTCAGAAGGGAGGTCAGGGCTGGCGCGTGAGTGGTCAGGGTGGCATGGTCTCTGGGCATGGGAGAGGAAAAGCAGGCTAACAGTAAGGATCAGGGCACTCAACCCAGGGGCAGGGAGGGGTAACAGCTCTCAAAGGCAGCTCAGAGCAGATAGATGACAAGGTACTCATCCCCCAGGTATCGAAGGGCAGTGAGGAGTTCTCCACTGAGTACTCTGGAAGCTTCCATACCATCCAGTAGACCACCTGTGGCCTCACTGTCTCATGGTCGGTCTGAGAGTCTTGTACCCTCCTCCTCTAAAACCTAGGCTATCGGCTCTCAGGGACAGGAGCCAGAGGTGGCCTCAGACACTCTGGGATGCCCAGGTCAAGGAGGCCTGGACTTGTTTCCTGAGTGGGCTCCCTACTCTGCCTCGTGCCATTCCACAGCAGGACAGGATGCCTCCCCTTTGGATGAGAAGATCTGCCCTGGGTTATGGTTGAGGCAGAAGGCCACCAAACCCTTTCTGGGTTGTCTCTCATCCCAAGAAGGAAGAGCAACTGGGGGAGGAAGCAATTCAGGATGCAGTCAGCTCTCCTCAATTCCACCAGAGCCCTAGGGCCTGAGGGGTCCAGAGAACCCCAATCCACCTCAACAGAAATACAGGCCTAACCCTGGGCAACATTCCTATAAATGTGAGTGGAGCAGGCCCACCAAGGGACCTGCAGGGAGGCCCGTGCCATGAGCTCCTGGGTCCATGTCAAATTCCAGCGATGGGCCCTGGACCTGAGAGAACACATGGCTACACCCCAGCTTTTGTTTTTCCGGTAGCAAAACAGCTGCAAATCGATGATAAAGTAACCCGCTTCAAGAAGGACTTGAGAGACTGAGAGGGGCAGGGAGATGTTAGGGTATTTCCCTGAAAGCCAGATGGAAGCGAGAGAGGGGTAACTAGGTGCAGGACGCTAGGCTGCAGCTGTGGCTGTGTCCTGGGGTTACGTGGGGCTGGAAACTCGAGTTGTCCTGCTTGAAATCACTGGCTGGAGGTAGCAAATGTCCTGCTTCTACAGTGGCTTCTCAGGCACTGCTGATGCCTACAGGATGACAGGATCCTTTCTGACCACGTGAAGTCCAGGCAGCCCATAGCCCATACCTGGAGCCCTTCTGTCGCCCTCCTGGGTTCCTCCTAGGCCTTCCCAGCCTGAGGAGAAGAGGCTGGGCCCACCACCCAGCACAGGCCAGCTCTGTGGAACCCAACAGAAAAGCTTCTGCCCCTCTTCACCCCCAAGTTCCCTTGGGTCCATTTATTTCAGGGACAGTTCAAGAGACCATCTTGGCCCTGTTCTCAGTCATCTTCCAGGAGGGAGACAGAGATGATAAGGTTTGGGGGACAGCTTAGGATGTGCCCAGTCCCTGGTATGACCCTCCCCAAGGGCTTCACTCCAAGTTATTCCCTGGAGCCATCTCCCATGGAAGCACCCAGAGCTTTGAGTGTGATTCATGGACCCGAGTTCTGGTCTACGGCCCTCTTCCCCCTGCTGTAATGTCACCACAAGACAACCGCTCCTTTGGTACCCCCATACTGCAGAGATCGGACTCACCGAGGCGTAGAGCCGTCCCCTCCTGTTCATGGCCAAGTACCGCCCAGAGAAGAGCCCCTTGATGGCCACAACGCCCACTTCCACAGCCGTGATCTCCAGGATACCTGGGAAGAATCAGGAAGGCTTATCACTTCTTCTGCTCCTGGGACCACAGAGGTGAGCTCTGAGCATGGCAGGTCCCACCCAGGTTGCACCCAGACTCAGGACAGCAAGGGCACCCCACGCCCAATGGGTGGTGGTGGCTAATTCAGAAAGAAAGAAGGCACTAGACAGGACTTGGAGAGGGGCCTTGGGGTGGCTGTCCCAGGACAGTCATGCAGCCCTGGGAGGAAGACAATGAAATGAACACGTCCCCACCCTATCTCTGCCAGGCATCATGGGCAAATAATGTGGCTCATCAGAGCTTCACATAGTCTCAAGAGGTGGTTTCATGGGTCAGAACAGCAAGCAGAGCCTACCACGGCAGGGTGACTTGCCCAAAACTACACATGGTGAGGCAGAGTTGGAATCCAAGCCCTGCAGCTATGGTTGGAGCCCTGCATCCTGAGTGCTGAGCCAGCTAGGGAGGGAAGCCCAGGGCGCTCAGGATAACCCAGTGGGTGCCACCCAAACTGGACTGCCAGTGTTTTGGGATGCAAGATGATTGTCTAGGGGGAGGGGCCAAGTCTGGAGCTCCCAGTGGGAAGCTGGCCAGGCCTCTCCCTCTCCCAGGTGTATTCAAGAACGTGAAATCTCCATGCGATGCTTTTTCTCTGGGGGAGGAGGGGAATTAGGGCTTGCAAATTCCCAGGCAGGGTCATCTTCCCCAAAAGGGTTGGAGTGGGGGCTGCCACTAATATCCTCTCCAGGGGGCGCCTAGCACCCAGCACTGCTATAATCACCCGAGTCGACAAGGCTTCACTCCAAGCCTCTGGGGTGCAGGCTGTGGGGCTTTAGAACCCGTGGGGTGACAACATGAGCAAGCCCCACAGCGCTGGCCTCGGGGACCGGCTAAGTGCGAGTCCGGATGCCCAGCAGCGCAGGTTGCACACCTTCTATCCCTCGGCAACCCGCCAAGGTTGCATCAAGAAATCCAGAAGCTCCGCAGCCCCACAGGAAACCTGGATTGGGACTGAACCGCAGAATGGCTTTCTGAGAGTACCCTGCCCACCGGGACCCTCTGGCGACAGCTGGTTCCCACCGTGGGCTCCGGAGGCGTCCCTGTAAAGACGCCCTCGCAGGGCTGCGGCTTTCCCCTAGGAAGCTGCGGTTTCCACAGCCGCCTTGAATCGGCCTCACAGCTTCCTGCGCCCGGGGCCTGAGCGAGCCCGCCGCTTCGGCGGAGGACCTCCGCGGCCCTGGCCACACTCCCACGCTCCCCACTGCAGTCCTTCCGGGCTTGGCTCGGCTGGTCTGCTCGCCACCCAGCTGGCCTGCTCGCTCTGCCCACGGCTCTGCGCTGTCCCCGGTGCCCACAGTCAGAAGTTCCAAAGCCCCGAGCCCAGGGACTCCCGCGGCGAGGCAGCCGGGGCCGCGGTCCTGGAGGCGCGTGTGCGTGCGCGCGTGTACCCTTGTCCGCGCACACAGCCGGACACCCTTCGCGGCTCCCACCCGGCAGCCGGGCGCCCGCCTTCGCTCTGAGCCAGGGAAATAAACTTGGGGTGGTGGTGGCGTCCCGGAACCTCCCTGCAGTGGCAGCGACGCGGGCCGGCCGCCTGGACGGCCGACAGCCCGGAGGGCAGAAGGGACCGCGGCGCGCCCCAGAGTGGAGTCCGGGGAGGAGGTGGAGAAGTCGTCAAAATGATAAAGACAGTGATAAATGCCTCCTTAGCTCCTTTTCTCCGACAAATTCAAAGGGCTGAAACTTGTCAGAACCGCCAAACGAAGCAGAGCGGGGAGCCGGTGGTCACTTCCTGCGCGCCCCTTCGGAGGATCCGGCTAGGCGGGGACCCTTCCTGGAAAGGACCCCTCCCCCAATCTCCTCCGATCCTGGCGTGAAGTTCGCCCGGGCGAGGCTGCGGATCCGCGGACCCGCGGACTCACGGACCCTGGGTCGCCTGTGGCAGCAGGAGCCGGGCACCCCAGGCGCGCTGTCTCCTCTCCCGCACCCCGCCGCGCGCTGGGCACTCACTGTAGGCGCTGTTCTCCAGGCTGCCGTTGACGCGGCCGCTCGGGTGCAGCTGGAGGTGGTACTTGGTGGCGCAGTAGAGTTTGCGGCGCCGGGGCGCCCCGCCGAGGTGCTCGTAGACGCCGCCGCGGCCGCCCGCATCGCGCCGCAGCCGCGCCCCTGGGTCCGCCGCGGGCCAGCCGGGCTCCAGCAGGCTGAGCAGCAGCAGCCAGATCAGGCCCATCGTGGCATCGCGCCCGCCCCGCGGCGGCTGCAGGCCAGCGCGGTGCCCATGGAAGGCGCGGCGGTGCGGACCGCGGGAAAGCGGAGACACGGGTGGGAGAGGGAGAGAGGAGGGAGGGAAAGAGAAGATGGAGAGGGAGGGGGGGGAGAGAGAGAGAGAGAGACTGACTTCAGTTTCCACCTAGGAGCGGTGAAATTTCCGTTGCTGCGCAAAGCTCTGAAAGAAAGGACGGGTCGCCAACAAAAGGCCGACGTGGTCCCCAGGCAAAGGCTCGGGAGGGGCAGGCGTCCGGCGGGCGAGGACCCCGTCCGGACGCGGGCTCAGGCCGGCGCTGCCCGCGCACACTCGCCCCCCGCGCACCGCCGTCGAGCAGCGGCTCCCTCGGCTGCGCACCCCGCGCCCCCGCTCGGCCTCCGGGCTCTGAAAGGTCCCTCGGCCGCCCCTCCCCCGCCCCCGCCCCCGCCCCCAGACCAATTATGCCTCCGAAAATTATAGACCGAGGCCTCGAGGCGGCTGCCCCAGGCCCTGTCACCCCCTCCCGCCCCCCATCAATCCCCCTGCACAATGGAGCCGCCGATGACTGATGTCCGCAAAAACGACTTGCGGGGAAGTGGCGCTGACAAACGCCCATTAGAGGCGGCGCATAATGAAGAGGCCCGCGGAGTGCGGCGGAGGGGAGGCCTGGGCGCGGGCGCGCGTGGGGACCTCGGCTTGTGTGTGCGTCGGGCGAGTCCTGCAGGAGCCCGGTGCGGAGCTGAGCCTCCCCAGGCGAGTGGGACCGCCGGGCCGAGGTGCCTGGCAGACCTGGTGGCACGCGCCAGATTTGCACCCTTCGGGTGGCCAGAAGGGTCCTGACCTGGCAGTGTCCAGAGAGGGTCCTGGAGTCAGGAAGAGGAACAGAAGAGCCAGAGAAATGGGCAGAGTCAGAGAGCCCAGGGACCCGTTGAACAAGACCGGGATAGAAAAAGCAGAGAATGAGAATCCGAGAGATGCGAGGATAGATACAATAAAGACGCAGGAAGAGAGGGAAGGAAAGACAGGCAGAGACCCCCAAGGCGACAGAAGGCCCGCGGGAAGCATGGGTTGTCTGCGGCTGCACAGAGGGGTAGGAGAGCAGAAACACCCAAGGGCCAGAGGTACCCACCTGCTGGGCTGGAGGCCATGCTGTACCTGGCCCAGGGTGTCATGTGGGGACAGCATGCGTCGGGGGTGTCCTTAAGGAGAGGGGCTCCAGGTAGTGCCGGGAAACCACCCCCATTTCCTTCTGCTTCCCTGCCTCTCTTTCCCTGAGTACCCTGACCAGTAGCCCCCAGGGTACAGGTGAGCAGGCTCCAGCAAGGGGACTCTGCGGGGCTGGGGGTCTAGGGCTCAGCCTGGGTTCCAGATTAGCTATGGGTGAGCCAGCTGGGATGGCGGTTCTGTCCTTTCCATCTGGGTCTGGATTTGAGGTCCTGGGGAGTACGCAGCACCCGAGGGCGCCTCTGGGTAAGCTATAGGAGCTGACGTACACATGGAGACATTTCCAGCCACCGTAACCTGACACTCAGGGCAGCCTGTCATCCTTGAGCCCACTCCAGTGTGCTCAGGGACCTAGCATCTGCACAAATGACCACTGCCAGCCATCACCCCAGGCCTCAGTCCTGGCTGAGATTGCCGTCACTGCCTTAGGGTTGGCTGGTGAGAGCCTTGATCAGCCTGAAGCTCTGGTCATGAATAGTTGGAGCCTCAGACTCTAGCAGGGATGGAACTTGCTTTGCAGGGCACAGAGGACCAAAAGAAGATTTTGCCAACAGGGCGCCCTGGACTGGAACTTGCTGGGCACTTGAATTTCTTAAGAGAGTGCAGAAGATTCACATGAGCAGCATGTTCACCCTAAAAACCATTTGTGGTGCTTCTGAGAGTGAGCTACCTGTCCACTCTGGGTTTAGAGGAGAGACAGAGACAGGGACAGAGAGAGCTAGAGAGACAGAAAGAGATAGAGACACACAGAGAGAGAGATAAAGAGAAAGAGAGACAGACAGACATGGAGAGACAGAGAGACAGAAAGAGAGATAGACAGAGAGAGATAGAGACAGAGAGACAGATAGAGAGATAGAGACAGAGACAGAAAGAGAGAGATAGAGAGACAGACACAGAGAGACAGAGAGATACACGGAGAGACAGAGATAAGGAGAGAGACAGAAGGAGAGAGGAAGAAGCAGGAGAAGCCAGGGCTTTCTGCTCTTCAGGCCCAGCCTCCTTCTAACTAGTCTCCCCTAGAATACTGGGAGGAGCCAGAAACAGGGGTGAGAGGAATCTGGGCCACAGCCCCCTCCTGCTCCATATCCAGTTCCCCTACAATTCCCAGGGAGGCCTTGGCCCTGGTCTCTCTACCCTTCCCTGTGGGGTCAGCCTTTGGCCCTCAAGTGTCTTCCAGCACCCTAGAACCCAGGGTGTGTCAGGGGTAGGGTCAGGGTGGCTCTCCCCATGGAGGAAAGCTCCCGAGAGCAGGGGTGCTCCGGGGTCTGTTCCCGACCGACCGCAGTGGCAGCATAGGACGTACTAACAAACACCCTGGCCGCTTCTTTGCGGTGTAGCCTTGGCCTTGCCACGTTGCTCTTGGAGATTCTGCTTTCTCAGGCCAGTGATGCTTCGTGAGGAGAGCCAGGAACTCAGGGGAATGAGTCCTGCCACCCTTGCGGCTGCCATCTTTGGAGAACACCGTTTATTGTTTGAGCCTCCCCCCAGGTTTTTAAAAAGGAGAGAGTGCTGTGTGCAGTTATGCCAGGACTCAGCCTCACAGGCCAGCACTGTGGCCTCAGTGCTTCCTAGAGGACCTGCTCACTGCAGGTCCCTGGGCAGCTCCCTGGGCAGGCAGCTTCCTCTGGGCCTCAGGGAAGACTCTCGCTGGCCCTCCTGTGCCCCTGCACCCTGAGGATGGAAGATGGAAGATGCCTTCATCCATCTGAGACAGAAGCTGTAGCATTAGGGGGACCACCAGGAGCATATGCCTGTGCCCCCAGCCCACTTTCCACAGTTCCCCACTGGGAGTCTTGGCTTATGCACCTTGCAAAAGGCTTCCTCTCCATCTCAACCTGCCCAGCCTTCCAGGCCCAGGAAGCGCCCATGACCCACCTTCTGCAGATTACTTGCTTCCCAAGGGTTAGCTGCTGCCAGGGGCCAATTGCCTCTTCCAACCTCAGCCTTAATATCCCCACCTGAGCCATGTCTCTTCCCACCAGTGCCAGGACCACACCTGGATCTACATACTTTAAAGCATCTCTGGATGACCTAAAATACCTAACTCGAGCTGGGCATGGGAGCGTGCACCTGTAATCTCAGGTCCTCAGGCCCAGAGGGTCACTTTGCCTTCTCCACACATGCTCTGTGGCTGGTCACAAAGACTCTGGCAACATTCTGTACACCATGTTGCTGCAAGCTTCCCTTATCGGCTGATCTGAGCTTGTGCTGTGTCCACAGCTCACGTGGGATGCCGTTTGCTTTGGTGTCCTGCTGAACGAGGCTGTGATGGACATCCCTGAGCTATATCCCTAACTTTTTAATTTTTTTCCTATTAACCGGGTCTTACTGAATTGTTAGGTTGCCCAAGCTGGGCTTATCCCTGTAATCCTCCTGCCTTAACTGCCCAGAGTGCTAGGTTCAAGCCATCATGCATGGCTTGTGAGCACATTTTTTTATGAACCTTTTTGTGGTAATGGACATTGTCACACATACTGCCAGTGAACCCTGTGATGAGGATCCTGGTTTCCGCTCCTCTGACACAGGAGGGACACATCCATTGTCAGTCTTCATGATCACTCAGCCCTGATGGACTTGTTGGCTGGACAGATAGTGTGGACAGTGCTTTGGCACTAGCTTGAGGCTCCCATTGACTGGTTTTGTGTGGCTCTCTAGCCTTAGTGTTTCTGGTATTGTGTGAAGTCAGTGTTTCAGGAAGTCTCTCCTCCTGACTAGGAGAAACCTCCAGGTGGGTGGCCCTGGGGCTGAGGCGGATGTATAGATGATGCTACGTGTCTGTGTCACTAAGGATTGAACCCAGAGCCTTCCACATCAAGCCACATCTTGGCTCTTTCTTATTTTTTGAGGAAGAACCTCACTGAGATGCTCAGGCCAGGCTTGAACTTGTGATCATCCTGCCTCAGCCTACCAGAATGTGGGATTATAGGCATCTACTACCACCTCAGTCTGGGACAATATCTTTTGCTCCCTCCCCCTGGTATCCTTGGCGAGACTCATAGCAGGGACTTTTTTTGTCTTTTGTTTTCCTCAAATGCTCAACATTGTTAAATTGAGGGTGCTGTGGCAATTCCATTCATTCCATTCATTCCATTCATTTATTCATTCACTCATTCATTTTTCATTCATACTGCCTCCCAGGGGGCCAGACTCCAGCCCCACCCTGGAAGGGCCTTGAGAAGGAGGAGGGCAGGCCAGTCCTATGGGTGAGTTGGTCATGCAGCTGTCCCTTGACGAGCGGGTGACCCTGGTCCCACTGGGGAATGCAGCATTGGGAAAGAGTCCGGGGTGGGGAACAGGAAGAGTCTAGACAACCCGGAAATAAAGGCAGGCACTGAGGCAGACAGGAACTGCCAGGGTAGAGGCTGTTCTTAGGGAACTTGCAGAAGTGCAAACTGAAAGTTCAGGGTTAAATGGGGGAGAGACGTGCAGGGGTGGGGCGTGCCCAAGTCAAGTGAGGATTTGGATTTCACCCCAAAGACGAGGATGGCTCAGACAATGCAGGCAGTGGACACCCCACCTCTCTTAGTTGTTGGCCGCAGAGCTGTTGCCATGGCAGTCGTGTGGATGCGGGTAGGGGGTCTCGTGTGGGCGCCATGCTCAGCTCAGCAGTGGGACCCACATCTGTCTCCCCAGCCTCTTGAAGCTGGGCAGTGAGAGGCTGCTCGGGAACATGCAGGCGTGCATCCAGCCCTGGCTCCTTCCTGTGCCCACTCACTGCCCACCTGGGTGGAGGCTGCTCTGCATGGTGCTAATGTCCCTGC